GCAGCGCCGAAGAAGTATGACTCTACGTCAAGTTAAAAGATCACTTGATGTAGCGTTCTTTCAGAATGATTGATTGTCGATGAAGTTTTCGAGAAATCCGAAGCGTGGGTTTAACCGGCGATACCATACCAAACTTCTGAAAAGCTTAAAATATTCTTTCAGACAATACTGACTCCATTTCAAAGCCAAAGTTGAAGGTGGAGATTAACCAGACGCGGTGCTAGGATTTTCTAGGAAAAAGCTAGATGGAGGACATGTAGGTGAACGACAAAGCCAACGTCTCCAACATTTCGTGATGGAAGTTTTGCTCCAACAATAACACGAGTTTTGTTTTCTAATTGTTATATGTCAGTCTTCCTAATTTTCATTTCTTGTATAGCGATCACATATAATTTGATATATTCAGCAGCCTCATGAAGTGTGTATACTACATTCTCAGGAGACTGTTCTGGCGTTGCAAGTCTAAAGCAAGAGTCTCCAAAACGTGTCATAGGCGTGTTCGTCTTATCTTTTTCCAATGATATCATATTAAACACAATATCTGATAGCCTCTAACCGGTCTCATCGCCCGACGTCGTAGACGGGAACATGCAGTGTGTGTCGTACTAAGGCAGAAAGTTTCTCGTCGCATACCCTACTCTCGACTGTTTTGATAGGATTCGCTCAAAATAATGATAATCTGATTACATGATAACATGTTTGAGCCTTTATGAGGTCTGGCACGGTACTTATACAGCACTAGACATGCGCCTGTTTCGCCCTTCCAATGTGTTCAGTGACTCAGTGCGCTACTGGTCAGCCGATCCCTTGGGGTTATACCTCTACATATAAAGGAATTGACGCCTAATAATAGATCACCGCGAGTTAGGTGACAGAACCTTGACATTATAGTGACCACTGTCGAGTGTTTGTGGCTGGTAGAATGAATCACACCCTACTTTTGACTGTTTTCTGCCGCATTTGTTGTTTATTTTGAAGTCCAAAAGTCGACTTTCCAGAGCTTTTCTCAGGTCATCACCGCATTAGCACAGCCGCCGGCCCTTGTGGATTAGAGAAGATTACCATCTTGCTACTAGCAGGTACCGAGATGCTGTGATTCCTAATACGGTTCACTCTTAGTGTTCTTTCCGGGTAAAAATGTCGAACTTCTTGGCTTGGGAGGCCTACTAAGAGTTGAACCATCGCTGTACTTCTCATTCCAACACCTTGAAAAAACAGCTTTCTCTAAGATTAGACGATAAACCATTAAGAAGGATAGTTGATGATGCCCCAGAATTGGTAAGGGTCACCATGTCAAGACGTATAACTCTTCCTTTCCATCACGCGCACTTTGCTAAACTTGGGCTCAGCTTACTCCACACGCAATTTCCGGAAAACCTTGCGTAGAATTTTCTGTAATTTACAGGGCTTCGAGATCGGCTCGGTTATAAAACTAGACTTAATGGTTGAATGCGCTTAAACAACAAGAAGAGGCAATACCACGACTTCCTATTCTCCGAGCCTTTTTTAGACAAGTGGACCCTAATACAAACTGGGCATGATGTCCACTAAATCTTCATTAGCTTCCGCATTTTCTTGAACGGAAATCTCGAAAGCCTAAGCCAATGCCCTTGAAATCAGTTCTTCAACTTCGAAGCAGCGTAAAATGGGCTGCGATAAGTCTGAGAATAATGAAGTCAAAAACTATTAAGTAATCGATTAGTAGAAAGGTGGAAAATTGTGGTAATTCCTCGTCAACTGGATGAGAAAATAGCAAGGAAATGCCTTGAACCTCCCTTTGTTGTGCATCATTTGAAAAATCGTATTCATTACCGAAAATTGGACAAAGATTACGTCAAAGTAGCAAGCGCTGGCCGTTCAAAACCATTAGTAGTCTCTTGACTTTCAAATGAATTACAAATATACTCAGTTTTATAATACTTATTGAAGAACACATGCTGATACACACTAGCAATCTTGCGTCTGTTGACCCTTCAAAATTCAAGGTTTGACCTGTCATCAGCTGTGAAGACGAGCGCAAGGATAGAATGTGGTTTACAAGCCTTGACCTGTTCTTGTTGCCGAAACGTTTGACAGCCCTCTCGATATTAAAATGTTCTTGGAATGCTTACGGAACACGCTTCCCAACAGCGCCCGTGTGGAAGTTTTCTCGACGCGACCACCGTTCTTATAAAACTTGTCAAAAGAACTCTACAATGCAAACTGTCCCCATGCTCTTCAATGAACACAAGACAACTACAAACACATGACTTTTCGACGAGGCAGATTGTGACGCTCTCAAATGAGTGCCTGAATAGCGTAATGTTTTGAACGTCAGACCGGTTTTCACATGATCTCGCCATAGAAAATCAAGCGTTCGCAATTGCATTGTATGTTTTCGCTCTGCGTTGTACGAAAAGAAATTATGATTTACGCCTGTTTTGTTTTCTTCACTCGGTTAGGATCTGTGGACACCTTTTGGCTAGATTTTATTTATCATTCGATGACCAGGTTTCGGCACTTTGAAACTAAATTTAGACTTTGAAAAGACTTTATAGGACGATGTAAGAGCAAAAAAAAAAATGCTTTTCACACTCGAAATACTTTGCCCCGTCTCCTGAACGTCATATCGAGTTCATCATGAGTTCAGGTGGCAATATAGAATTAAGTCAAAATGTGGTGTCTATAAAACGGTACAGCAAAGTTTTTTTTGTAATCCCTATAAGAGAAACCTAGAAGTCCTATCGAAGCGGAAATAAAATTTCAAAAATGAAGAGAGTCACGCCTCCTCGACTGGCACTGTGCGCAGCGATTTCACTTACCAGCCCGAAAAGGAGCGATTTTCGTAGAAACTTATTCTCCATCTCGGGACAATTTCGGACTTTTTCAAGGTATCCTGATATTACGAAAATTTTTCCACACAATATGCTTCAGTGCTGGCATCTCTGAGTGCAAAACTGTGATACTTTCTTTTTGCTCAAGGCGTTATCAAAAGAGAGGCTCAGTTTCGAAATCAACGTTTATCGTGCTGTCACCACTAAGTGATAATAGAAAAGGGCGTCATGACGATTGTGTCCATAACACCTAACCAACTCTTCTTCTTAACTAACCGAGGTTATTACGTTCTCCCTTAGATATGATGGTCAACGCTTTGGAAATTTGCCTTTCACGGAGCCATTTGGTTCTTTAAGTGCAAAAAGTCACCCCTGGCACTTTTTACATTTTGAGCGACATAATTTACCACGTTTTTGCATGTTCCTTTAGATTTCAAAAACGTCATTGCAACTTCTTATAGGACATCATTAAGTGTACGAAATCACACTAACTGCCGTGTGCATCTTAGAATTGAGACCGCACTGAATTCCAAATTGTTGCAAAAGAACTAACTTACACAGGGAAGGGTGAATAGTGGAGAGTCACCAAGTTTAGCGCGACTGATAGCTATCTCAAATGGTTACCGGCAGATAGCCATCTCAAATGGTTACCGGCAGATAGCCATCTCAATTGATTACGAAAGAGCAGTCACTGAAACCAGATCAATAAGAGTAGATAGACCCAGACATAAATAAGGGAAACAATGTCGCTTCAAGCATAGATGAGAGGATACCTTTGAAATGACTTTTCATAACAAATGAGGTAAGCGTTGTTATCAAAAGGTGCTTACAAAACAGTTGTCCGGAAAACTCTGTAAGAATCACAGACATTTTATCCAATACAATTTGTCACCAAACTGGTTCGGAACCGCTTGTAGTAATGTCTATGTAAAATAGGCATTTGTGAAATATGCTCTCATGGACGGAGATTGCATAAGTTCGGGTACAAAATATCAGACGTTTTGCACGACATGTGGTGAGAATATATTTGTGAAACGAGTAGACTACTTTTAGTTCGCATCAAATAATACCTAGATGGGAAGTCACAGTCAAACAAGTAAGCCTTTAGGGGTGCACAGGAAGATAAACAAAGCGATGTGGTCTTCGAAGTGGTCGGAATAATCATGAGGCAAGTAGCAAAATGTCGAAGCAAAAGACCTTTGAGACCTTCTGGACGAACTGCAAAAGTCCAGAATGAATAGAAGAGGAGAATGCTTGAGCATATCAAATGATATGCTGCCTTATCTCATATTCATCTTCTAGTCTGTCTTGTCCATTTTTCGCAGTGTGTCACATGAAACCGGTGACCTCTCTCCCATAAAAATATTCGAAGGTGGAGATTTTCAAAATAACCAAAGTGTTGTAATGTTTTGTATCTGATTTTGGATGTGCACAAAAATTCAACTAAATAATCGGACATGGTGTGATAAAGTAAGTTTAAGCTCTAAGCAGGGCGAGGTCGTTAGAACGTTAGCAATCAAATTTTGACAAAGAAGACGTAACAGTTTCGTGCAAGTTCTGATTAATAAAAAGGACAACTCACAGAGTGTTTGAACTCCGGTTTCTTCAGGTATAATCAAAGGATGTGGTTCCACATCAAGTGTATGATTGCGATGTCCAACAGAGAGTAAACGAAAGCCAATCAAGTTATTGGATCCCTGTTAAGTTGTTGCACAGTTAAACAATTGGAAATCTGTGATAAAAAATAAACTCAGATTACACAACACTTAATTCTTATCTCACCTTTTCGTAAATCACATAAGAATACGGATAGTGAATAGACTTAGCGATAATATACTCAAATAATGGGCCGAGAGCCTGCTGGTGTAAGTTTCAATGCCTTAATAACCTTGTATTGGAATAAAAAGAGCTAAATACAAAATAACATGAGATATGTTAATAATAGATATAGATATAATATGAGATATGTTTTTGTTCACCACTCAATTCTCTAAGTTATATAAGTATGATAATAACACTGCGAAAAAAAGCAGTGAAAATACTATAATATGGAAGTATTAGTAATTAGAATAGCTATCTGCTCAACTGGGTTCATAAAGCGAAATCGCATACCCGACCAAACCTGTCAAAGGTTGGTGGCTGATAGCTAACATTGAGATGTTGAAGAATGAGTGGTCGGGCAAATGTGCCTCAGTGGTGTAGTGGTAGAGCACGCGTCCCCGGATAGGATGAAACGTGGGTTCGATTCCCTGTTGAGGCCGTGTTTTTGTTCACCACTCAATTCTCTAAGTTATATAATATGAGATACTCATATCTTAGTTCTAAGTTTCTGCACAAACAGTGCTCAAAGTTAGTGAAATCTCGGCTGAACTGGGCTAAAACTACAAGCTAATTAATGAATTTGGATCACACATGACGCTTTAGTGTCATCAATCGTTCGAGAAAGAACTAAAAAGGTATATTTGATGTGGAAAGCTAATACGTATTATTGTTTCAAATATTATTTCTATAGGTATGCTTAAAATGAACGCTCCACATCTTGGCTAATACTACTCAATTTATCCTCAATGTGTTATTTTATCGAATGATCTGACATCACATCAATTACATTGTACGAATCTCAGAACTTCTTGTGTTTAAGTTTTTTGATTCCCTCTTTTGCATTTACGTTCTACAAACGCCTTCGAAGTTTATTGGCGTAAAGGTATGGTTGCTGATAAAGGGCTTTTTCGTCTTCACGACTCATCTTGTTAACCTCCAACGGACGGCCTCAGAAATCAATGCGCGCAGGGCGAATTCCATGATTTTCGTTGTTTGATAGAGTTTTTTCTTCGTTTAGCAAAAATCCTTGGAATTCTTGTATCACTTTAATAGAAGTAGATTTTCTCTACCCGCTATTACGCTTCTTGTTTAGTCATACGCGTGTTCTGCAAAGAAAAACGCTGATTTTCTACGCAATCGTACTGTATCTGGCACTCAATCAATTGTATTGCATTGCACAAAGTGGATCACAAGGAAAGTCTCTAGTTTTGCTCTTCTCTAGTTTTATACAAGACCCAGGAGTCACCATAGTAAATAAAAATTGGGCAACGGCTAGTAATTTATCAAAAAAAGATTAAGCAAGGTGCATTCGATACCTGTTCATTGAAAATTCTCACTATAACTGAGCTTATATGAATCATTAGTTTATTTCCACTTATTTAGTGTTGACGTAAATAAAAAAGATTTAGGACATATGGATAGTAGATAAATTCTGAGCGATAAGGGACAAACGTGTTTGAATAAAAAGCTTAGAACATCGGCCTTAACAAACTACTGGTCAGAAATAACTGTCTCCTAAGAAGTACTCTCGGCACTTTTCCCCCATCCGCACTCATGTTGAGAAAACGTTTTCATTCCATTTTGGCGTTTTAGAAATTCTTCGACAGCATCGAGAATCTGAAGGATGTACTTCAATTTTCAAGTGGTTTTTATATTATACTGTAAAGGTGAAGTGAAATTATATTTAATACTCAAGCATCTTTCGCTGGACGGAGGTTTTCATTCAGACTTTAAATGACCATCCAGTAGCACAAATCTCAACAATCTCAATGATAAACTTGGTTTTTGAGGGAACATTTCAATGCGTTAATGTGTTACAGCTACAAGATTACTGAGTTTCACACTCGGCACCGCGTCGATCGCTCAGCGCAATTTATATCTGACGTGCTGCCCGCCGACGCGTGTAAAACCCAATATTCTTATAGCTGTAACGACGCACTAAGGAATTTTTTTCAGAAACTAGGAACATCGTTGGAACTTTTAAGATTTGAGCTATCGAATGGGTGTTAGAGCCTGAGAGAAAAGCCTTGTCTAGAGAAAAATACGCAAATGTGCAACCCAGTATTATTCTTTTTGTTACAGCTCGCAAAGAGAATTTTCTAAAATTTCTCCAAAGGGAAGCATATCATTGAAGTCCTCGATATTTGAGCAGTCGACTGGTTACAAAACAGCGACGCCTTGATGCCAATGGTGTAATATGCATCCACATACCGGTGGAAGGCATACGCGCCCTATGTGAAATGAAATCTCAATTTCAATGTTGCAGCGCAATAAAGGAATTATTTGAAAAACAAAAAACTCTATTGAATTTTCCGAGATTTGTGCTAACGAAGAAGTGCTAAATTCTTTGGAGGAAAGCTTTACTCATCGAAGGATGCTTGAGCGTTAAATAACATTTTCTTTTGCGGAAAATACGTTTTTTTTCGAATATGGGTGCTGATAGAGAAGTACCATACGATGAGCTATGATGAACGCGCGCTCTTCCTATACCTTCTTGAGCTACATATCAGAACTTCCTCCACATAGACCTCTATTATAAATGTTTAGTTGTAGAAGATACGCTTTCAAGCATGTTCTCGCCAGACAGGCGACACAAATGCACAATAGGGGTTGAAAGTTTGTTTAATTTTTCAAAATGACGTGGCACTATCGCTTAAAAATTAAAGATTTCAAGAGGAGCAATCACTCTTTGTATCAAAAAACCCTTGACAAAGGTTCCTTCATGATATTCGATTTTTATGTAACTACAAGAAACCTCTGACATATAAACTTCACCTATGATTACCAACATACCGGCCATGACGTTCAAGCGACGGAGTAACATTTCAGGCGTTGAATGTGATCTTCTCGCCGCTCCTACAGCGTTTCATGATTACGTTTCAGAAAACTAAGTACATTATCAAAACCATACAGATTTGGGCTATCAGATTTGGGACTGCTAAAACTTTAGTGAAGAGCTGTATCGAAGCCCCATCAGAGCAAATGAAGGAAATTGATCGTGAAACATAATTTTCTTTTCGCTACTGCAACGTAATAAAAGGGTCTTTTTCTAAAAGTTTACAGATCATTGAAACCGCTAAGATTTGAGCTTTCGAGTAACTGCCAAATGTCTACGAGACAACTTTTATGCAGCGAGAAAGGCCTTCAAGAATTAGTGTACCTCAGCTGGTACACGTCGTTCCTGAGAGGTTAAATATCGGTAGAAGCGACTCCTTCTGAATTTCGATGAAAAAAGAGAGATTCGCGCTCTACCACTCACATGTGAATTTAAGGTAGGGCTTGCTCAGACAAACTCGATTTCAGTTTTTCAACCGCAGAGGAATTGGATGCTTACTAGGCTAACGGCAACTCGCACCAGCGTTGGCAATCTGCGAGGTGATCGTGCTCATCACCACTGCGTTACCTTTTTGCAAAAAAGTAATCGTTTACTGAAAGCCATTTGGACAATTGAAAAAAGGTACTTTCTGCCATTGGGGAAAGTTATTGAAAAGGTCTTTTTCACTTGGCAAAGCTTTCCCCCGTCCTCCCAAACTACTAGAAATCTTTCGATAGCATAATCTCGCATATTAAAGTGTGCTTGTTTACCGAAAAGGAATTCTTGCGGCGTTGTGTCAGAAAAAATAAAATTATGTTTCTCACGCGTCACACATTTGCACGCGCATTTCGTTATTTATTAGATTTTTCCTCCATTTCGTTGACATTTCCAGGTTTTTAGCACTAAGACTGTAGAAAAAATTTCGTTCTATCTACATCATCCGCTAATGCTAGTCATTTTCTTTCACACTGTCAAATAGCCCGCTAACATGCTTAAGCCTAAGCAGCCAAAACCTGTGCACAAGAACACATGAAATTGTAGAGAAAATCTTGGAGTATGAGAGTCATAGGTTTTATTTAAACTTTATTTCAGGGTGAAGAAAGAACCCTAGGTTTGATAACACAGATGCGAGGAGCGCTGCGCGACTGATAGGTCACAAGATCGATCACACCCATTTACGCACCCAAACGACAAGCAATGTGCGGCATACGAGATACTCAATCTTATATATTTGCCTCGACGCAGAAGCAAGATCTCCTCAGAAGCCAGGCACAGTGGTAGATTTGCCGAGATTTACACTATTGAACGATTACTAATACCTGTGTAAAGGGCTTGGTCTATGGAAAGTACGAGTGTGTAAAAACACATTAATTTCTCTGCTACAGCGCAATGAATTAATCTTCACAAAAAACAAGCATAGTGGCGAAATTGTCAAGATTTATGCGGTGGAATGATTGCTAGCAGTCTGGAAAAAAGCTCCACTGCTCGAATAGATATGCGCGATATCGTGTATTGCGTGGGAAACACAATTATTAGATTCCATAAGTTTTGGCATTATACAGCTTACAACTTATACATTTTATACAACTGGTCTATATTTGCTCTAAAAGTGAACTATCTTGGGAACGAAATCTCAACATGAAAGGCCAAAGTTAGTTGAAATATAAATATTGATAGTTTCCGGTATGTTATTATGCATGAGAGTAAGTGTGACTGTCATCGTTTGACTTCTGAAATTACTTAGAACGAAAAGCTCTTAGAGAGACATGAACTCCCAATTTAGAATCACGAGATGAATTTTGACAGCTACAACATCACAACGCAGTTGGAGGCACCATCGTGATTTTTAAGAACAGATCAGTGCTGTTTAATGGCTTTTAGCATCGAAATGTGGGGCCACACAAGAAAATGTACTCAGAATACGTTTGGTGTGCTTAAGAAAATCGAACTTGTGTTGGTTGTATAGCAGTATTGTTATTGATGCAGGTCTGCGTATTGCAATGGTTTCTGCTTCACTTTCAGATATTTACTTCTAGCAGAGATATGTTCCTTCAAAATCGAAAGCGGTCGTTGCTATGAGAACTTAACACACGTCGATTCTGAAGTGCTGAAGGATGCACCACAAATTAGTCATTCATTGCTCAAAGTATTTCTGACAAAAATATGTTTGAGCTCTTTGGACAGTTCAGACGAAACTTCCACGCGCAGCACAACCCCCAGGTGGCGCATGACTTTTATCATATAGTTAAGAGCTTTTCTCTACTAAGAAAAAAAATTATACTTCTCTTATTACCTTGTGATCCGTGTTTTTCTGTACACCTCTCGTGTGTTTCCTTCCTAAGTATATACATATATACGTATAAATGCATATCTGTATTCCCACATCTAAGAAGCTGTCGCTTATCGCGCGTTTAAACTGTCCGACTCTCTCTGAATCTCAGCATGAATGAGGAAAGTGAAAATTCTATTACGAGCTGTCCTTTTCTCTAAATGAAACTTGTACGAGGTTGGCACACCTCCCTAGAAATTTGATGGCTGACGTTTCGAGAATCTCTTCTTCGTGAGAGCCTGGACTTACTATTTAATTAATTGTTGACATTCCATATGCACTAAGAGTTCAATAC